ATCCAACGTGAAAGTTCTCTAAAAAAAATCCAATCATTTTTAGCGATTAACTTTTTCTTTTAAAACTCAAATCAAACTCAACTTTAACTCAACTCCACTTTCTTCAATATTATCAATATATTTAAATAATATTACTCAATCATTTTTACACGTTACATCAACTTTTAATTCACTATTCATTTACTCATATAATTTTAACTAACCACCACTTCACATCATCTGTCGTCTACTTTTACATCAAAGCAACTTTAATTATTTTATTTTAAATACTATTTTTCATATAAACTCAAAATTCCACTAACAACTAACCATACTACATTTTCAAAATTAATCAAATAAAACCAAAAAATCAAACAAAATCAAAACATCTTACATCCAAAGCATGAATGATCTCTTGAGACCGAGAATTCAGAAACCTTCAGCCCGTCTTATAAGATTGTCTTTTCATGATCAGGAACTTTTAGGGGAGGTTTTTCTTCTCTATTTTTCGGAAGTGCACTCTGAACAATTAGCTATTTTCATATTTTGTGCAATTCATTTGATATTTTCATATTTTGTGCAATTCATGACTTCATGTCACGGTGCAGGGACCTAGACACACTTCTTTTTCAATAATGTTGTACTTAACTTTTGCAACATGCATTAATTAACTAAATTCCTCGTTTTTTTTCTTCCATTACAGAAAGGAGAATTGCTGCTCAAGCTCAACAATCTGCATAGATGAACGTGCTGTAGGGAAGAAAGAAAGTTGTACAGCTAACCGAGGCTAGTTTGGGTTACCTCTCTTTATTCTCTTTCTTTCTCTAGACTCTCTGTTTTCTATTTGCTCAATATACAGATATCTGTATGAGGGCTCGGTTGCAAATAAAAGTTGTTGCGTGTACTGAAAAACCTGTACATTGTGTAGTTGTCAAGTTTATACATAGAGAGTGTAGTAAAAGCTTTTGAGGCTCAGAGGCGTGACGAACGTTCCTGATTGCCCGTGCAGAGGAGATGAAAGGCGACGAGGGTGTAATATAATTTAAGGTTTGAGGTAGTTTTTATCTATCATATGACGAATGACTGTACAAAAAATGATCGATGGATTGCAATATGCCATATGGAGAAACAGGTGTTTTTAGACGAGAGGCCGAGGGATATGATGTTTTGTATGCATTTGATATAATCTTGATTTTCTTTACTTGGCCATAATACATTTTCTGGGCTCTCTAAAATTTCTTGTGTTCTGCTGTGCTGCATTTGCATGCTTTTGCTTCTCAAGTAGGAATTGTTTTGTTTATTTGAAATAGGAATTTTGTTTATTTGAAATTTCATGTATTCAAAATAAGTTTTAGGATGTACTCCGCCCCTCCCCCTAAAAAAAAAAGAAGGAAGTCGAGCTTTTATGTTAAATGATTATCGAGGTATTGATTGAAAAACCCTATTGAGATTTTTGTTTCCGTTGATATGGAAGTAGGTTTTTGTCACGCTTCCAATTTGATGTTACAATAGAAGTTAAAAAAGAAGGCCATCTTTCTTATATATATGGTCCAATTGATTCATTTAATCACACTATAACACAATCATGATGCTCTGCGCAGTGAGTATGAAGCTAATGTGTAAGTGAGCAATTTTTTGTTAAATATATAATTAGTCATATCATTCCTCGACCTATTTGGATGTTAGCGACTGACTTTTGAGCTACTAAGTTTGAAAAAACTCAATATACGAGCTGTATTTTCTTAGCTCAACTCGAATTTCAAGGAGGAGACACTCCAAGGTGACACCCGAGCCCGTGAGAGATTGCCTCTGGTGTGTGGTGATTAGGATGCCGACTGGGCCACGGAGGAGGCTGCGGTCGTGCCAAACCGATTTAAAGAAGGCCGTACAGAGTTTGGCCGAGAATAAGCCATTTGGCCTTGGGCAACACATCCAATGTTATGAATGATGTCGAGATAGTGAAGTCGAGGGATGCGATCCGAGTTCCATGTCAATATCCTCGTTTACATCTAGGTCCAGAAGTTCTCTGGGCAGTGAAACCTCCGTGTCGTCCACCGTTTCAATTCCCGCCGGGAGAACACCACCCACAGTCGTCGTCATCGGTGGGGACACACCTTCGTCCCTGGTCGGTTCAAAGTTCATGACTGGATGCGGAGAATAAGACATTATAATTTAACAAGGAAAAAGAATATAATCATACCGAAAATCTTGAAATTGTCGGGAGAAAAGGACAAGGCAGTAATGGCGAATTTAGAAAAAAATTCTGAAGAAGAAAGTGTTATGTTTGTAAAGTTTTAAATTTGCAAGGGAAGGAAACTCGTCGATTAATAGAGAAAAATATCCCACACGGATCGACACTACGTTATTAAGGTAAATTTTGGGAAAACGGTGGGTCCTAGCAGAAGTTTCTAAGGTAACACGGTCAGCGGTCATATCGTTGCCACGTCAGCATGAAAACTGAACCGACGCAACTTTTGAGGAACGGACATGTCCATATATGGGAAACCCTTCAGATACAACATTAAATATATAGGAGAACACGCCTTTTCAATATCCGCGTGAGTGGATGGGGCGGTTTCTCGGTCAACTCGGATGTCTAAACTGACAACCTCAGAAGTAACGACTGGGAGTGCAACTTTCGAACTCGGGGCCTGTATGTTGAAATTAGAGCTGAGCTAGGAAAATATAGGGCTGATTAATGTAATTGAGTAGACTGTATTCACTAAGTATGGAATCCGGGTCAGAAAACCGCGAAGGAAAGATGAGTTCTAGGAATGAGAACGAGCGGGTATCGAGTTAGATCTGAAAGGAGTTCGGCTTGAAGGAATAGTTGGTCGTTGGATTGACCAAGCCGAGAAACAAACATGATCAGGTCCGATGACTTACACAGATTAAATGGAGATTCGATACGCACACAGGTCGAGCTCTAGTCCTCGGATTCCTGAAAGTGGTCCTAGTCGGAGGATCGACCATATGAATAGTACACCATGACATATTCTACATCGTACGACTGGATCATCAAACAAGTAACCCAGGCGGGATACTACTGGTCAGAAGAGCCGAGCTTACGACTTGGCTAAATCGAGAAAGGTCCATGCACGAAGACTTGAGCCGATTACACTCAGGCGGCAGAAAAAGCTTAAAATAATGACAATTTGCACCTGCATCATTAATGCCGGGAGAGTCTGTCAGCCTACTAGTCTGCCTATATGACAAAGCGCTATAGGGACATGTACAACATTAAATGCATGTCATTTCCATTTAATGCTCACTTGTACTGAGGAACAGTAGCCAGACCATACTTACTATAAATAGTCCTATGAATCCTTTGGAAAAGGGTTCAGAAAAATCTTTATACACAAGATATATATTCCGTCATTTACAACCATTAAAAGGCGAATATCCGACCTCAAGTTCGGAAACACCCGACCTCTTTTTCTGCGTGTTTTTATGCAAGACTACAATTAAAAACTAAGTTCGAACATCTTAATCACTGAATTACCAGTACTAAATCAATACTTTTGGTTGATCAAATTTTGCGATCAACACGAGCATTTTGACGAAAGAGAATTCGTATAATAACACGTCAACATAATTTTTTTTATAGCTTCCTGTGAACCTCCTGTATACCTGAGCCAGTATGAAGCCTGTGAGCTGAGGAAGTCCCTCTAGTTCGGTCCTTTCCCATCAGCTTCATGTAGTTCTGAGTCTTCGGGCTATGATTATGAAGTCTGCTATTTACTTATTTACATATGGATGATATAATCCGCTAGTCAAATTAGCTATTATAATATGCTATTATCCATCAATTATTTTATATAACTATATTTATTCACCAATATATATGTTTTAAATTAAGATATTATATATTTAAAATAAAAGTATCATATTTCATAGGATAATATTATTTTTTGGTAAGAAAAATATGAAGATTAACTATTAGATCAAAATTCATATGTTCCAAGTTCCAACACCACTTTCAAAATTTGTTATATCTGCATATAAATTGGAAAAATCCAGGTAGATAGATATTTATCAAAAGATCAAAAAATATCTGCTTAAAGCGTCCAGCGTGGCGCACCACTTGGAATCTCATATTGCACTTTTTCCACCCCAAAAGTATTTTTATTTTAATATCCACCGCTTTACTTCATCATTATTACCTTTTCCGACCTCCTCTTTCCCCTCTTTCTCCTCCTCTGCTCCATCTCCAGCTTCTATCCGTCAAATCGAAACTCCCTGTAAATCGATCCGATTAGCATGCGATTTGAATCCCGTGACTGAGAATTCCATGGGTGAGGAAGTGAAGATCGACGACGGCGTCTCCGAGTGGGAGGCTGGCCTCCCGTCCTCCGACGATCTGACGCCCCTGTCCCAGTCGCTGATCCCCGCCGAGCTTGCGTCGGCGTTCAGGATCTCACCGGAGCCCTCCCGGACGGCGTTAGATGTCAGCCGCGCCTCCGATAGCACCGTTTCCTCCCTCCGCGCCGCCCGCTGCTCCAATTTCAAGCCGTTCGGCGGCGCGGTGGACGAGGCGGAGATGGAGGACGGGTCCGATCCGAAGAGGAGCCGGAGGACGGCGAACCACGCCGGCGACGACCCAGACGGCTTTGCGGACGACCAGTCAACGTCGGCGAAGACACTGAAGAGGCCGCGGCTCGTATGGACACCGCAGCTGCACAAGCGTTTCGTGGATGTGGTGGCCCACCTGGGCCTGAACAAGGCCGTTCCCAAGACGATTATGCAGTTGATGAATGTCGAGGGTTTGACCAGGGAGAATGTGGCAAGCCATCTGCAGAAGTATAGGCTCTATGTGAAGAGGATGCAGGGTTTGTCCACCGAGGGCCCCTCGCCCTCCGATCAGTTGTTTGCCTCCACGCCTGTGCCGCCACAGAGCTTCAACGAGTTGTCTTGCGGTGGGCACAGCCATGGGAATGGGGTTGTTAATGGGAGCACTAATGGAGGTAGTGGGAATAATCATGTCGGGATGCCGATGATCCCAATGCCTTATCCTCCGCCGCCACATATTATGCCCATGCATATGATGCCCATGGCTGCACAGGGACACGGGTTCCATCATGGATATGAATCGAGCCACTCACATAACAATCATTACCAGCAACAGTATAATAACATGGTGCAGCAGCAAAGGGATTGGTCTGGGAATAAGTATAATGGCTATCCGTATCATGTGACTCACGACAATAACAAATGTTAGTCGGAGCTGAGCACAGTTGTAAGTGGAACTAAAGGTGAGGACACTTGATTGTAATGAACTTTTTGGTGCTGCTTGTCTTTTGTCTTGCTGATTGTGTGAGATTGTTTGTGATTTTCTTTAGCTGATGTTGAATTGGTAATACAGGGTCTGGTGACTTCTTGCATTGGAATGTGACATGTGAAACCTCAGCTTGCAGTTTTGTGTTAGCCAAT